TTCCAGGCTATGAATGATTCAGACACCAGAGGCTCTAGAATGGTAAGGTGACTTGCTTGTCACACTGATGATCTCACATCGTGTCATGCATGACTCAGACAATCACACAGCGGCTTGAGACTTCATACTCGGAAATCATCTTTATTCTGTTCTACACATTTGACCATGTGTTAGGAAAAAATAATTTCAAGGTAAGTAGTGAGATCATATTTTTCCCTAAAAAAAAAAAAAAGCTTATTGAGCCTCTTGTAGGGAAACAGCAGTTGTGCCTGTGGTTTCCTATAAGAGGAGCAAAAACATAGCAGGACCTGAGAAGAATTTCTCATACACAGGCTCATAAAACATCTGTCAATCATAGAGAAACCGAGGGGTGACTTTTGTCCCCAGGCAGCTCTGGAGAGGCATGTAAACACATCTCTTCTGTATGCAGGGTGTGGCCTCTTAGAAGTGGCTTTACCTACCAGTACAAATGCTCATGTAAGATGGGAATGTGTCTAATCCAAGATCACAGCAAAATACCACAGACTCCATTGTTTTACAACACGATTTCATGTTCTCACACTCCTGGAGGTGCGACGTATGAGACTAGGTCAGGCTATACTTAGGAACACACACACACACACACAGCTATAGAAAAAAGTTTGGAGGAGAGAAGGGCAGGGTAGATGGTAGGGCTTGGAGGGAGGAAAGCAAAAGAAAAATATTGTAATTATATTATAATCTCAAAAACTAAAAAAATGAAAACTTGAACAAGCTGGGAACAGGTTAAAAAAGGGGGTGGGGCTGGGGAGATGGGTCACTCTGAGTGCTGACTGCCTGCGAGCAGGAAAAGAAAAGTCAGAGGGTGGAGGGCTGCGGACAGAGACTTGATGAGAAGGCGGCTGCCCCTGAAAGACACACACTGAACGCCAGGGCAGTGGTGGAAATGAGCATCAGAGTGCAGCCGGGCAGAAAAGCTTCCTGGGTCTGGGCTAGGAAGGTCAAAATCTTAAAGAGAATTGATGTTTGTGTTTTCACGGTCTTCACTTTTATAAATGGCACAAGCCATCTCTCTGTACAGTGTAACCACTGAAGCTGGGAACAGGTCTTGCCAGGCTGTGGGCATCAGGACATGGGGCCCAAATCTTCACCCTCCTGATGGCCCGTTTCCTTATCTGTCTCCTCACGGCTCTGCCTAGATGAGGTCTTACATTGTTTGTTTCTTCTTTTTCTTTAAAGATCTATTTACCTATTTTAATGTGTTTGAGCATTTGCCTACATGTATGTGTATGTACCATATGTGTGCCAGCTGCCCTCAAAGGCTAGAGCGGTAAGTCCTCTTAACCACTGAGCCATCTCTCTAGCTTTTCGTCATACATAGCAAGGGGAGAGTCAGTTGTGGAGTGTGAGACAAGACAACCTCTGAATGAATGCTGGGAAGCAGAGTGTGCCCACTTGGTCTTAGGCCATGACAGAATTCCTTTTTGACCCTCATCATACAGTACTCTGCTCTAGCATAAACAAAGGAGAAAACAGTAAACATCTGTTTGTTTACCGGGACACAGTCTTACTAAGTAGCCTAGGCTGGACTGGAATCTACTGTATAGAGCAGGCTGTCTGCAGTCTCACAGAGATCTGCCTGCCTATGAGTGCTGGGGCTAAAGGTGTGTGCCACCACACCCGATTATGCCTACTTAAAAGAATTGCTTTATTCTTATTTATGTCTCTGTGTATACGCACATGTGTGTGGAGGCCGGAAGGCATTGGGTTCACTGGGGATGAAGTTAGTTAGTTGTGCACCAATCCCTGTGGCTGCTGGGAATTGAACTTTCATCCTCTGCAAGAGCAGCAAGTGCTCTTAACCACTGAGCTGTCTCTCCAGCTCCTAAATGCATGTAGTTTAAATGAACCTGAAGAAGGTAACAAAGCTGACGATTTTCAAAACTTTTATCTGTGGGTCTTAGTATAGCAATAGAAGTGCTACTTTTCAGATAAATGCTGATTAGGCTTGATCCCATTTCTCCTATTTATTAATATCAGCATTGGCTGAGAAGAAAGAAAGGGTAGACAGTAACTTTTAAAATTTGCCAGTAAGATACGACAGCTGTTTTACAAATAGAATCTGGTTCAGCAGAACTGCCTCTAGAAGCCTGGACTTCATATTCAAGAGTCACTTCCTCTTTTACTTAATGATACTGCAGGAAATGATCTAGCTTGTGTCCAGCAAGGAAGGATTTCTGATTGGGCTTTGTTCCCAATGAATGAGATGGGAGGTGACATGGGCCTAAACAGCCCGGGATGTGAAGAGCCAGAACACAAGTTTCAACATTAAACGGTTATAATCCAAGTCCCAGCTACTGCTCTGGACAATAGGAGTGACAGCCACTGGCTCCTCCATGTTTTGAAGCCTGAATCCCTGAAGGGATATAAATAATCACAAATACACAATAATTCAGTGTAATTGTTAATAGCAACATAGAAACATTTCTCTAGGAAAAAAAATGTGGTCAATGAGCACATCTTAAAATCTAGGAAATTTCCCAAGTGAATTGGGTGCTGGAATGGAAAAAAACAGAAGGAAAAAGGGCAGTCATTTAGACTGCAACTCAAGAGAGAAATACACACACACACACACACACACACAGACTCATCCCTCCTCGTGTGTGTGTATGTGTGTGAGTGTGTGTGTGTGTGTGTGTGTGTGTGTGTGTGTGTGTGTGTGTGTGTGTGTGTGGTGCGTTTTGATGGAGGGCTCAACTATGGAGCCCAAGGTGACTTTGAACTGAAGATTCCCCCTGCCTTAGTCCACCAGCACTGGATAGATGTGTGCCACCATGCCCAACAAGAGAAGTCCCACTAAGGCTGATTTAATTTTTAATACAGTACTAGAAGGAGCATGACTTGGATTTAGTAAGCTAAGCAAAATCAGTATCTATAATAGATTTTCCTGCAGTTTTTCACTGTAATAATCAAGTGGTATTAGCATTTGAAAATTTAGAGCTCATTTTCTTCTAAGAAGGAAAACCTTTATAAAAGAATATCGAGTTTTATCGATACAGTGTAAGACTGCTATGCACAATAAATAAAAATATGGCATATCACTGAGCCCTATGTAACACTAATAAGCCAATATAATTTTTTAATGTTAAGAACCCTTTTGAAAACATTCACTCTAATTTTGTTTAATAGCCCTTAAAAACCTAGATGCGATATCATGTAAGACCTTTTGAAAATTGACAACAGTGACCTACAGGACATCACTGAGTATCTGCACTTGCAAAGCAAGTCTGCAATCAGGTATCTGTTAAGTGTGAGGCATTTGGAAGTTGCTGGGATGAAGGGTGCTAGCTGTGACAACATATCCCTAGTAAAGGGAGTCGAATGTAATCAGGGGCAGAGAATGTAGTTTTCATGTGGCCTTGAGTGCTAACGTTTTCTTAGAAGCTGAACATGTTTCTAAGATAATCTCCTGTGGGCAATTTAAAAAAGCAAAACAAAACACTGTGCTACTTGTGCTAATAACCATGTATGAGACTTGCATTAAAAAGTAAAAACACAGGCAAACACACTTAAGCTTGCTCGTCACCCAGGCTATTTATCAACAGCCCCTCCCTTGTGATGCAATCCACAGACACAAGGTGACCAAAACACAAATACCTAGAGAACATCCCAAGTATGGCGTGACTTTTGGGATGATTGTAGATTCGGTGGCAGGCTAGACTCAAGCTCAGTGCCTCACTTTGGGAGCGTTACTCTTACTTCTTTCTGATGGATTCAGGAGGCCAACGTGACCCTGGTTTATTTTATTTCCATGCTCCTTTGGATTAGATACCATACTTGCCTTTTCATGCCTTAAAACAAAAACCAAACCAAACAAAAAAGCCCGCTGGCCTTGACCAGAAAATGAAAAAAAATACAGAAAACGGAAACATTTAACCATTTCCTTGCCATGTCAAAGGCAGAGCCTTCACAAAACTGTAGGGTCCTTTTCTTGAAGATAGCAGTGGGCCCCAGCAGAAGGCTTGTCAACAGACTATTTACACCCTTGGGGAAAATCCCTCCTGCTTTTTTCACTTCTGCAGAAGATAAGTTTGCAAGGAGGGGACATCTGGCAGTGCTTCCAAAGCACACTGTCTGGTACTGTTGATAACGCGATTATTTGTTTTGATCATGGCAGCATCTAGAATGCTCTTGTTCAGGAATACCATCCTGCCCTTCCAAACGTATTTATCTCTGGTGCAGATGTAATTCATGCCATCCTCCTCAGTGTTCATCCTTTCTCCCGCCAGAAGTTTCCAATCTACCCGGAATCCTGCTATTGAAAGACGTCAGCTTTACTTGGCACGCCTATGAAATACCTTTCATTCAAATAAAAGGATGTTGGCTGACTGACATGAATATGCTGGCCAGAGTGAGAAACTCACTAGCATTCATTATGTATGTTTAATTGGGAATAGCTACATACTGTATAGATAACTAATATGGAGATTTCAAACGAGTATCTTTCTTTTGGGTCAGAGTCAGATTCAATAACTCACAAGAGCTCCCCAGCAAAAAAAACTCTGTTTATATGAAAGTCATACTTTACCTAAAACATCTCCCAAATAAAAAGGCACCCGAGGGACAAATCTCATTGTTGCTGCTTTTATTTTTCTTTATAGTAAAAACTGGGGGGAAAAATCAGTGAGGCTAATGTCTAAATTGCGATCTTGATCACATCTGAACAGAGTCTCAGGCACAACAGAGACGGCGAGGCCACAGGCCAGGCCACTGTGAAGTTCATCAAAACCGAACAATGTAGCAGGTGAGAGTGCTCCCTGGAGACATTAGTAAAGTCCACATGCTGCCTATTGTTTGGGCTGAGTTCCCTGAGTGAGGCATTTCCCACGGTGCAGCTGAGGGTAGAACCTCAGCCACAAACTTTTGGAAACAGACTCTCCCTATGGTCTACCCTGGAATGTTGTGAAAGAAAAGAGATTGCATTACAGAGGCGTAAATAAGATAAAAGTGCATTTACTCACTGTGTTAAAATTTGGAAAGAGCCCGACAGCAGAGCTACTGTCCACTGGAAAAGACATGAATGGTTTGATGTCCAGCGAAGGCTGCATCATCAGGGTGGGTGTGCGCACGAGTGCAGGAAGGGTAGTAGTGTGACATGCACTGCCTGCCAAGAACAAAACAAAGCCATTTCAATCTCTCACTCACATCATCTTCCTCCCAGGCATTCAGGGCCCACGCAAGGTTGCTGAGCTGTGACCTGCAAACGCTGTGACCTGCAAACACAAGGGTCACAGACGCTAGCACCTGGAAAATACTGTCAAGAAGACCTCTTCGTGGACTGACACACATGCAGAACTCTTCCCTGTGCATAAGCCAAGGGCTTCTCAGGGTCAGGTAACACATTGTTCACAGGTTCCACCAGCAGGTGTGGCATAATGCCAGTGTCCCGGTGTCTGACGACCCTCCTGGCATCATTGAGAACCCGCAAACCCACAAACTGTTAGTGAATAAAGGTGGGGCCTCTCAAGATGTTCTTTACTGTTGGGAGTAAGTAGCCAGCAGCAACTTTAATGCAAATGAAGACAAGTACTGGGGTTTTTATGAGGAAGGAAAACTTGGACTTAACTTTGGCAGTTACTGGCTATAGTTATAACTCAATTCCTTGTCTTAAAAATGATCACAAAATTTTCCTTACTCTAGGAAGAAGAGGAAGTTTAGACATGGGATTGCCAGAGAACACAAGAAGGTGGGCTATGGTCTGGCTGTAGACAGAGAATTTGGAGAAAGGAACTCACTGTTTTGTCTTAATTTTTACACATAATAAGCTTGTGTTCTTTGCATACCTGTCCCCTTGAATAGCTACGTTAGCTGTTCCCTCCTTTGGTATCTGATTTAATGCAGGACTGGGTGATTTAGAATGATGTTGGCATTCTTCCTTGTCATTAACAGTCATAGACACATTTGCTAGCCTGGTTGGCTCTGTGGGATGTGTGTGTGTGTGTGTGTGTGTGTGTGTGTGTGTGTGTGTGTGCTTGTGCAGGTGTGTATGCAAATGTGTCCTCAGGCAAGTAGAGACCAGAAGTCAGTATCATGTGTCATTTCTCAGGAACCCACCACCTTGTTTTCTGAGCCAGGGTGTTTCATTAGGACTTTGCAGATCTGGTAGGCTGGAGAACCAGTGGCCCAAGGGATCCTGCTGTCTCTGCCACTTCCTCCTCCTCTTCCTCTTCCTCTCTAAGCTGGGACTACAAGAGTTATTTCCCAAAGCATACTACCCTGGCTGCCTTTCATGTAGGTGTGAGGATCAAACACAGATCCTCATGGTTGTATGGCAAGCACTGTATCAACTGAGCTACTACACACACAGGCCCATGTATGTATGTATGTATGTATGTATGTATGTGTGTATGTATGTATGCTAATCACATGTCAGATAATTCACCCACTTAAACTGTAAAGTCAATAGGTTTTCCTTTCTTTGGCACCTTCAGAGTGGCAAACGAACATCATCTTTACATGTAGAACATTTTTATGACTTAAGCTCTACATGTAGCAGCAGTCCTTTCCCGTTTCTACCAGCATCCCTAGCTCCTGACAACCACCAATCAATTTTCTATGTGTATGGACTTAGCTGTCTAGAACATACGGTTTAAATAAAACCTTACATGTCTTTTGTGTCTGCCTTCATTTGCTTGAGATTAATGCAATTGGAGGTTTGCTCATACTGCAGCTCATACATCAGGGTTTTGTGCCTTTTCAAGGCTGACTGCTGGTCTACTTCGGAACGCCCCACATTTTGCATATTCATTTATCAGCTCATGGGCATTTGCATGAGTTGTACTTTGGGGGCACTCTGAAGAGGGCTGAGGCTTCTTCCTTCATCACCACCAGCAGCACATAAAGGATTCATTTCTCCCTGGCCTGCCTATCTTGGATCACACAGTAACGTCATGCCTAGAATCCTTCACTTGCTTCAAGGAGAAATGAGGAGCGTGAGAAAACATCCCAACTATTGAAGTGTTCACAAGACTCTTACAGTGTCCCCAGATCACTGAAGTTCCTGCCTCAGTGATAACTTGTTTTGGTAATGAGGTTCCGAAGAAACTGGTGGCATGCTGTCAATCAGTTGTGGATAGTATTGGCAACGGTGTTTAGCAGAGTGTCAAAGCTCATTTATGCTGGTCATTTTAAAAATGTATTTAAAAAGGAAAAGAAATAAGAGAAAAATGCACCTGAAGTATTGTCTTCAATAGTCATTCAGATCACCCACAGCCATTAGGAAATAAATACGAGGGCTCAGTACAGAGAATCAGCCAAGAGTATAGACAGAACAGTGATTTTCTTTTCCTGATGCTCAATTAAATAATCTGGTTTGTCCTGGTATGGATACACCACTGGCATTTAATTACAGATTACTTTTCTAATCAGGTAATGCTATCTCCATTGCTAACTTCAAGTCAGAGGATCCAAGATGATGTATTACATCATTGCATCAAATATCGCAGAGGCATATTTGAAAGGACTTATTTTAAAATCGAGAGAAAATGGCCTTTAGTAATTTATCATCATAATTATTAGAATTCTAAAGTACAAAGAGTAGGTAGTATTAATCTAAGTCACCTACTGAACAAGCAACTTTTTTGTGACCTGTTTTGTGGCTTTTGGTTTCTGAAAGGGAAGCCAAGCTTCATCTCTAAGGCCTCAATGGTGGCTGTGATAACAGTGTGTAATACAGAGGCCCCAGGGCCTGGTAAGAGTCACTCTGTTCTAACAAACTCAAATCAAACAGAATGCAACTGGGAAACTCACAGATTGCTCCATCAGTGAAGGTCGGAATGTTCTGCATCCTCCTTACCCAATCACATCTCTATGCTAATAGACTGGAGGCTGGAGAACTACTTAGCTTCCACCATTCATTAGCATAAAAACTTAGCAGCTGTTTACCATTTCATTAGCATTTTAATGACACACAATTTGCCATGTTAAACACAGATTGTTTTAAAGTACTGATGGATCTTCTGAACAAACCATGCTTCCATCAATACCTTCACCTCAGTCTGCTGCTGTCTGTCTTTTAAGCTTCACCAAGACTGACTATTTCCAGAGAAGCTTTAGCAGACAGAAATAAAAGACAAAGCACAAATAGATTTTTTTTCTGTTTGGAAGTTATTCACTCTTTGATCCTCTGTCACTTCATTCCAGATTTTGCTATTGCTGCTGGCAAGCCTTTCTTGTCACCTTTGGGTGCCTGAAAGCCAGTGAGAGTTGTGAGCAGAAATTTGGCTAAAACGCATTGTGCTCTGCAAGAAAATGTTCAGTTTCTCTAAGAGTCAAAAACTGGCCGAGATAGATAGATAGATAGATAGATAGATAGATAGATAGACAGACAGACGGACGGACAGATAAATAGATAGGGGTTAATGATGTAATAATAAGCATTTCTGTGTGAAACGCCCCCTTTGCATTGCTCTTCTCATGATACAGGACCAGTATTTAACTTTTTTAAAAAGCAAACTTGAGGTTAAGGAAAAGGGGAAGTTATTAAGTAAAGTACAGTATATTGAGATAAAAAAGAGTGCTTCAGCTTGGATTGAAAGGCAAATGCATGGGTGCACCGCCAAGGTACAGTGGATGTGGCCCACAGGTGAAGGTTGTCACCAACGTTTGGTTCTCTACAGTATATGCAACTCCTAAGGGTGTGTAGGTGAGTGATAAATCTGACAAATGTGCACTTGAGTGTGGGTAGGCTGTACACAGAGGTCAGAGGAGGGGGACAGGTACCCTATTCTGTCGCTTTCTGAGGCAGGATCTCTCACTGAATCTGAACTATCTATGCTGGGCAGTCAACAAACTCAAGGCATCCTTCTGTCTCTGTACCCCAACAGCTTCCAGCATTGGGGTTACAGGCACACTGTACCCCGAGGGACTTTTCCAGAGGTGTTGGGACGCAAACTCAGCAAACATCGACAGATGTGGTTGTTCTGTTTGGTTTTAATTACTAACTGCAGTTGTTAGTTTTTGTCAACTTGACACAAACTAGAGTCACCTCAGAAGAGGGAACCTTGGCTGAGGAACTGCCTCCATCAGACTGGCCTGTAGGTCCATCTCTGGGACTTTTACTTGATTAATGAGTGATGTGGGAGGGTCCATCCCACTGTGGGCAGGGCCATCTCTGGACTGGTGGTCCTAGACTGAACAAGCCATGGAAATAAGCCAGATTCAGAGTTCCTCTAGAGTCTCTGCTACAGTTCCTGTCTCAATTATCTTGAGGGTGGACTGTAACCTGTAAGACGAAACAAACCCTTTCTTCCCTCAAGCCAATTTGGTCAGTATCTTATCATAGTATTACAATGCGATCTAGGACACTAATTCTTTTAGGCCAGTGTGCAAAGTGCTGAGTTTCACATAAATCAATGAATTTGAAATAGGGTTTCACCTTATTTGATGGGGCTTTTGTATCATATATGTGTTTCATTTTTTCCCGTTAAATGAAAAAATGAAACACACACACACACACACACACACACACACACACACACACACACACACACTTCCCTGGTTCTGGTGAATTCTTTTTTGTGTGTGTCAGGGGGAACTTTCCTTAAAGAGGGAATGTAAAGGGGGAATAGGAAGTGAGTAAGAGGGGGAAAAAGAGGGAGGAACAGTAGTTGGCTTCATGCTCAAGGTCCAAGAGGAGACACAAGGTCAGAGAGACCTTAATTCCATGTTTCTAAGGCCTTCCAATTGTTAGTCATTTACCATGCTCGGCATGGCAAGGTACCCTACTTTGGGAGTACAGTTCATCAACTCACCAAGCTTAGCATGGCAAAGCAGTCTACTTTGGGGGCATAGTTACAGTTTACTGAGTCCCAACAAATAGCAGTTATATTTATATTTATCTATCCTGAAGCCAGTATTATGTGACTCACCACTGTGATCATAAAAAAAATCCTATTATTTCAGCCAACTGCCTCTGTAACATAATAGGTACCTTATCATGTCAATGGATTATGTCATAATCCATCACAATGAAAGCTCATTTGAGGGCCAAGTGACACTTGGAATTATTGCCTTAGTCTCTGACCTTTAGAAATGTGATCTTGAAGGCCCTTTTAGGTTATAATCCCAAGGCTTCCTGGTGCCTTGTCTTTGTGCCATTACACA